AAGGAGCCAGTGAGCAGGGCTCCCTCTCTGCTGGGAGGACGTCTCCCCTCCACTCTGGAAGAACCAGGCCAACGCAGGAGCGCACCAGTGCGTGCCTTTGGTATTCGCGGAATGACGGACAGGAAGGCATCAGAAGCAAGAACCAACAAACTTTTACTTTTATTTCTCTATTTCTTGACCCCCATCACTTCCCTCCTCCTTTCTTTCGAATTTTCAACCCATCGCTAGACCCGTGCCCTGTGATTTTGGTCCGGAGCAGAAACGAGGAGGCAAGGGGTCCCAAATGGTTTCCAGGACATGACAAAACTCTTTAACTCTTGAACTGGGTAGGGACAAATGCTGCGGGGTGGATGTCACTCACACACTCAGCCGCTGAAACGGATGAAACCTTCTATGGCAAGGAACCCCACAGGGGAGCTTTCTCCAGGACACCAAGCTCTGGATGTGGGAGTCATCCCAGGGAACAGCCCCCCCCGCCACCCCCAGGAGGCTCCTGGCCCTGCTTTCTTCTCCCACCCTCCCCGGCCCTGCACTCTTTACGACGCCCAGGACTCTGTCTTCATGCACACGCGCGCACACACACACGCACACACGCCTCAGGGAAGAACCAACAAGCGGCCTCGCTTCATGCCCAGCACCCTGAAGGAGAAGCTGCCGACCCCAGCGAAGCTGCCCCCGGGGCTCAGGCCCCCTCTCTCTCATCTCTCACAGCCTCTTCACACAGGGCCAGCGCGGAAGCCGACTGCCCAGGATTGAGCCGGAGGAAATACTCCTCCATTTGCAACTGGCTGGTTTCGGCGTGGGCCCTGGGACCCCACAGGAACTCGTAGCGGGCAGGGTCGCTGCCGGGCACCTGCCGGTACTCCACGTACCCTTCCTGCACCCAGACCTTGGTGAGGAGCTCCCTGGGCTCCCCGTAGATGATGTGCTCCTGGCCTGCATACACCCCCATGAACGGCAGCGCTTCCCACACCTCCTCCTCGGGGGCACGGTCATCCTCCAGGAGGATCACCCCCAGGACGTAAACCAGGAGGCCGTTCTTGGGCATGCCCTGCTCACCGCTCAGCATCTCGTCACAGGTGAGGCCCAGGACCGGGACCAGGACGTAGGAGTGGTCGCCGGGGTCCACTTCCTTCACATGCACACCAAAGACCAGCTGCATGCACTGGGAGGCCTGGCCCAAGATCACAGGGAAGGGAACCTGGGCGTCGTTGCCGATGACCTCCAGCATCTCCGCCTGGCTGGTGGGCTGCTGGGTGCGATACTTGAGGAGCAGGAAGGCCACCAGGTGGGCCGCCTTCAGGTGGAGTGTGGTTTGCAGCGGGGGCGGGGCCGCTCCAGGCTCCAGCCCAGGGCCAGAGCCCTCCTCCTCCTGGGCTGAGCCTGAGATATCTTCAGACAGGCTCCAGGGAGCGGCTGCCCCGGCACTGGGCGGCGGGCAGGCACTCAGAGGGCTCTGGGGAGGGCTTGGAGACCCAGCGGCAGACCCGTCCTCTGGGGTGTCCGGGAACAGGGCAAAGGAAGAGGGGGAGGAGGACAGTGAGGAGGAGGAGGGGGAGGGGGAGGAGAGGGAGAGGAACTCCTCGGCCTCCGCAGCCCAGGACAGCGGTGCGGGAGGCAGGTGCTCGGCCTCTCTCGGGGCCTGAAGCTCTGCCTCCAACTTCTGGAGCTCCTGCCTCTCACCCAGAGGCATGATGACTTCCGTCTGGCGGCAGGCACCCGGTGCGGCCCGGTGGGCGCAGGCGACCCAAAGGCCTGGGAGAGAGACGGAGCGTGAGGAGCCTCAGCTGAGGAAGGGCCCCGTGGCAGCTGTGACAACGGGGACTCCGGGTCTCCGTGCGGGCACTCCCTGGCCTCACAGGGGTCTCTCCCCATGGGCCGCCTGTCCTCTGAGAGACCCAAGGGGGAAGCCAAGGGCCTCCTCCCTCTGCCCTGTGACCTTAGGAGTCCTGCCTCACACCAAGGCCTTCGCCTCCCAGGTCCTGAGTCCCCTGGAGGAGGGAAGGAGGGGGCACCTCAGGGCGCAGACTGGGAGTGCAGCCCAGGGTCCCCGGGGGCAGGCAGGAGGGCTGGGTCTGACTCCGGAGTGTCCCCACTGCAGGACACCGAGGGGGGGGGATAGGGGGTGAGTGTGGGGGTGGGCCCCACTCGGCGCACTCGGGGGACTCACCTCTGCCCTGGCAGGGCCCGGGCCCCACCCCTCTGCTCCCCTGAAGCAAGAGCCTCAGCACAAGACCACACAGCCCTGAGCCTGAACAGAAGGACGGGAGGGCGGCCCCATCGGACCGCACTGCCCGGGGCCTCCCAGGTTCCCGGGGAAGGGGAGGCTGCTGCGTCCTTGACTCCTGCCAGGGCCCAGGATCCTGCCTCCGCTGACCTGAGTTCAGACCCTCAGACCAAGGCCTTTGCCTCCCTGAGAGCAGGGATCTGGAAGGAAGAAG